GGGCGCCTCCAAGACAGGCGACAAGTACCTGCTGGTAGTCAAGTGTGACGCCAGCAAGATGGTATGGTTCTTCCCGGCTCCCGAGGCCACGGCAACGTTCGTCAAGGACTGCCTCCTGCAGTGGTTCGCCGTGTTCAGCGTGTGCTACGAGTGGGTCTCCGACCAGGGGACCCATTTCAAGAACCATGTTATCGCGGAGCTCCAGCACGTGCTGGGGGCTCATCATCACTTCACGACTGCCCGCTGCCCATGGGCGAATGGCACAGTGCAGGTCGTGATGCGGCAGTTTCTGCGTCTATTCCGGGCATGTCTGAGCGAGTGGCGCATGGCGCCCGACCAGTGGCCCGAGGCCCACCTCGTCATCATGCTCGTGCTCAACCAACTGCCTTCACCATCCCTCGGCGGTATCGCCCCCGTGACCGCCATGTCGGGCCGTCCGGCAATGTCGCCGGCTGACACGATGGCGTTGCCGGGTCAGCTCATCTCGGCCACGCTGGCCGAGGTGGAAGAAGGTCAACGCGAGAACATTGCCGCGGCTCAGATGGCGCTGGAAGAAATGCACAAACAAATGTCGGTGGAAAACGCACGGAAGCGAGACCGCGCGCGGCAGTACCACGATAAGAAGAAGGGCGTGCAGATGGCCCAGTTCGTAGTGGGGGACTATGTCCTCTACCAGGACGTATGGGCGCACTTGCGCCAGAAGTTGCGGACCAAGTAGTGCGGCCCAGCCGTCGTCACCGAGGTGACCAGCAACTGGGTGTACGACGTCAAGAACCTGCTAACTCACGACGTTCGCCCCGTCCACGCTAGCCGCCTGAAATTCTACGCGGACTGTGACTTGGACGTGACGTCCAACCTGCTGGCCCACGTCGCCCAGAACTCATAAGGTTTCGAGGTGGAGGCTATGGTGGACGCGCGGTTCGTCCCCACGACCAACGGTTACGAGCTGTTAATCAAGTGGTGCCGACTCCAAGACGTGGAAAACTCGTGGGAGCCCGCCGACAACATCTTCGCCGATGTACCCGTGATGTTCAAGGCTTTCTGCAAGGCGGCCAAGTCCGCCGTAATCAAGGAGATGGCCGTCGCTTACGAGGTTAAGTAACTCGTGGGGGAAGTGATGTATTCGGCTCGAATTACTGAGACGGAAAGGAGTAGACCTGTGGCGCCTGCTCCTTGCCGTCCATTGGTCGGTACTTTTGGTGGTTGGAGTACCATATGGATTAGTAGATTGTATCGGCCCCTTTATCGGGTCTGAGAGTTTAAGTACTTTGAGTGGCTCGTTGTCACTCACTTCGCCTTTTACCTTTGAATATTCCAACGTTTTGATTTCGATCGGTTTTGAAGTAGTTGAGATACAACAACAGATAACAGCGAGATTTATTGGAGTCGTAGGGATAAATCTCAATTTCCCCACCCATCAGATTTAATCCGATTTATACACACAGGCCACCGCACTCTGATTACATGTAGCTGCTACGAGTGCGGCACCAAATGAATCCCACATGACGACTATCACATCACATTCAATCAAACGTTACAGTAGAATCTATCATGTTGAAGCGCATGCCGCAGTTCGACGCCGCAAGTTATCTCACTCGGCTAAAATGTTGGCATACCCTTGAGCTTATCGATTATCACAAATATCAAAATAATAGTCCAAATCAATATTTAGTATAGTAAAATGAAGTTCCATCACATAATATACATAACATTACCATTTTATTGAACTCAAAGCGCAATTTCGACGTAGTACGTCGACGTGATGCGACGGCGGCGTCACAGTGAGCTGTGCACATGTACGATAACCCCTATCGATGCTTAATGGGACCTCTGAACACCACCGACTGTCACAGCCCTACGTCGAATGGCCATGTGTCCTCTCTGCTGACACCGTCGCCACAGCCCTCAACATCGAGCGACAACCAAGTCACCCCGATTTTGAAGGCAGTGATGGCGGCATCAGCAGGGTAAACGAATTAGTGAGCACCACGTAGATTGTTTTCTCGGAGCTCACGTCACAGTTGGCTCATGGTATGCGAATGCGCATGCACTATAAATCCGGATAGCATAAATCTGATGGATAAATTGAGGCAAAAAAGTCCTATTATAGAACTTTTCGGGGTCAGATTTATGTTTGGATCTTTGAAATATAAATCTGACCCCTATAAAACCTGCGGTGGGAGCAATAAGTCTGGGTGGTCCTATCTAAGGGTTATCCGTATAAATCTGAGCTATAACTCCGACCGGTGGAGTTGCTCTAATAAAGCCAGACTTCCTCCATACAGACGCAAAGAAACGATTGTCATATTCTTGCAAGGAAGAGAAAACATCAATGTCCCTGTAACACCTACCCCAATACACATCCTGCGACACATGGGGATGTTGTGGGAGTCACAAAATGTGACATGACCGTAACTAGTGTAGGCTACACTATTGGCACAACGTCATTTGGAGGGTCCAACGCATGAATAGTGTAGCCTTCAGGTAACATTATATATAGGATCAAATTAATAGTGTAGCCAATATTATTAAATCTTTAAACCAGCAGCTGACTAACGTCCAATATTACTGATATCAATACAATTGGACTGTAGTGCTTCCGAAATTATTTTAATTCGTCAGTATAGTATCGGTTCTCGTGGAGGAATGTCTTAAAAATGATAACGTTAATCCAATAAATTGTACGTCGACTTAACAGTAAACAACACATGGTTTGAAGTCCTAGTTTATGTCCAATGGGTGGCTTCCAAAACCGGCACAAATCCAATTTCAGACCAAAGTGGTACTGATATTATCCGTATCGATAGCGAATAATAGGAGGCAGCAACCATCATGCTCCTTTCAAAACCGACTCAAATATACAAGCAATCCATTCATAGAATCTATCTATTGGCTAGAGTAAGCCAATAATATCGATGAAAATCAATCAACACATACATGAACACTTCCCATCATGACACTGTCCAGCCAGAAGAAAGTATCGAAGGGCCGAGGGCGTACGGAGCCCGAAGTCCAGTCAATGTTGGACGTAAGCGCGCGCTAGCTTTGGTCAAGGTTCTTGCTAGGGTCGCTGGGGCCATGCGAAACAACTCGCACAAGGTCTTGCCCTCAAACAGTGCGCAATAGAATTGCAACAGCAAGGAAAGTGCTTCGTGCTTTTGGATGCACTTGGGCAGTCGTCCGCCTCGTCCTTTGGCATGGCCAAACTCATAGTGCATGGAGAACGCCACAAGCAGATATTTCGTTGAACGTGTCGGGGTCCAAAGACACTGCAGCAATGAAGGTGCTGCGATCACGTGTTGCATACATAGCTGTCCATGAGCTCGGTGTGGTGCCAGGTAATGACAGAGAGGTTAAGTATTGTCTCTCTTTCAATGTAGCACGAGCTCTGTATAGCATGAGTATGTCATGTTCGTCGCAATCGGAGTCGTCATCGTGGTGGGCAAGCAGCATGAGAGCCCGCCACTTCATCGTGGAAATGAATTAAATTATACTACTCTGAAATCAACACAATTAGGAGATTTGAGACCCCAGGCGTACGTCGTTGCTGAGACGAAATTTGAGTCTCCGCAAAGAAAATCGATCGAATTGAATATTAATTCCGGATGACTCAAAATTATTTGAGTCGATTTTGGAAGCCATCCAATGGGCTTCTTCAACAAAGACGCACAATGGAGCCGGCTAAAAAGAAGAATAACCTCCGCGGAATTTTACTTTAGCAACTGGTGATACTGTACACATTATGGTACCATATGTGATATATTATATGATCCTGAATGCAACCGTACTGTACTAGTACTTCGAAGTACTTGATTGTTGTTACCTCCCGTCTGCGACTGTGTTATCCTCGGACTTGCTTACAGTAACTGTGAGCTTATTTACCGGTAGACTTGAGTAACGTGTTTCATGAAAACATAAGACGTAGTACGTACATCTTTGCAAGAAAACCCGAGGCTACAGACAAATAGCCAGTGGTAAACTGTGTCCGCGATCACGTCGTCTGCTGTTCATTTCCCAGGGAAATACTGTTTGATTGGACGAATTAAGGTACTTTTGGCGAATCAAATCGTGAGGTCGATTTATTGCCACTTCGCATCAAAGGGTCAAACCATGCCAAAACGGCAAATTTCACCGGAATTCACAATATAAAAAGCCATCTTTCCAAGTAAGTTTCGAGGACCAAATTATGATCGCCTTTTTAACCTTGAACTGTGTATGCCTCGATGCATGTAAATTGTGCGGATAGGGTATTCATTATATGTCAATCCATTTTCATTTCAACCTCTATAGAACTTATACCTGTATGAATGCATGACATGTATCTCAATATTGGTGTTGAATGCTATCGGGAGACTTTCAAAAATCCCAATACGAATGGCTTACACTATGGACTTGAATTATGTGGTGGCAACTTACGACCCAACAGCAAAACAGGTGGTTTTGAAGGATTCACGAAGTGGTGACGCGCATAACGTCGTCATGGCCACAGAGGAAGTCTCATCGAAGCGCGAGCCGAAAATGCGTCAAACAGTTAAGCAATCACGCGATTGTTCCAAAGCTCTGGAGGCACGGATACGATATCTCACAAGCTTGACGGGTTGAAACGACTGACGTTGGCGAGCAAGTTTTTATTGGAGGCATCAAACGTTAGATCCTCATTCGAGTGACCCAAGATAGTTTCACGTTAAATGGGTAAAAACTGACGAAACGTCTAATTGGTCCGACTGAGGTGTAGTCTTGGAAATATCCCTAGATCTCGAACCTTTGTAGCGTCAAATAATAGCCGTGTACAACTGCTATTGCCAAGTAGTCGTGCCTTTGACTTGTGTTTACGTATCTGTGACGACAACTTTGAATCGCAGTACATATCTGTGCCCGTTGTCCAATAACCCTAGACTATGTTTAAACAATATTTGAGGTCATTTAAACAAATTTGGGGTCACTTCAACATATGTTTACTTCATTTATTACTTGATTTGTTGCTCCCAGCAAAATCCATCATCCCATTTTGCAATATTATTGACGCCAGAGAGACCATGGCGACGACCAAGGATCACCGCTCCGAGAACGGCAACGAGTCGAACTCAATGGCGGGCCAACAATTCACAACATATCAGTTCACATCGGCACCACAAAGCACCACAGCACACAAGCCGTGAGGACGAAACTAAGCCCAATGATTGTGTGGAATACCCTGGATGGCAAGTTCTACAACTGAGTTGACGTCACGTTCCTGCTCGGGTAACAGGGTTAATAGTTTGGCCATGACTGACAATGTGGTAGACTACATCGATCTCTATGTGTTTTCGATATTAGTCTACAGTAGCACATTCCACCGTGGTTTTCTACGTAGTACCTCGTAGAATACAATTGAACAGGCTGCGATTGCTGCGACGAGTATGTAATGTAGTGCTTCGTTCTGCCATATTAAAGTATTAGTATGCAGTTACAGCAGTACTAAAGCATAATTTTGTCTGAAGTCCTGCGGATAACAGTAACGGGAAAAAATTGTTAGTTTGCCTTCCTTTTCCATAGGTCATGTCAATCCAACGACAAAAACAAACTCATGCACAGTGCACTTTGTGTTCGTACACACTGTAGTCAGTAGTATAGTCTTGTCATGAGTGCTCAATCGAACCAAATCGTCAAATCGGCAGACAATCGATCAACCAATCAAAACCCAGAACACTTACCAACTGGCCAATCAAATACTCGCTTTAAACATCGAATTAGGGTGTGCCTGAAATTAGTGTGATATTTGACGATTCGTTTTGTTGGGTCTATTCTATGAATCGACACACCCACCAATTACACAGAAGAATCGGCAGAAAGATTTAGCCAATCAGATTACAGGAAACCATCAACAACGTCAAATTAGTGTGTGACTTCAATTAGTGTGATACAAATCACCACAGGACCCCATTTTACATACTAGTACAAAATTCAGTACAAAGAATCGATGATAGATTTGGCGATTCAGCACAAAAGTCCAAATCTTGGGTAAGAGGACAATACTACCCATGCACTGTACGTTCCAGTTCTTGTACCAGGTGGACAAAGATGAATAACGGTAGTTACACGTCGTCTCGTAATACGTGCTACGTCCGCCCAATATCATTAGACTGAGCTCAGCGACCTCAGGTTGCGGACATAGGTTTGTTGGACTTGGAGGCTCCGCACCCGCCGCTCTCGCTGGCCGTCGACGGCGTTCACTACGGCGCCCACAATAGCCATCACGAGCATCACTAGGCCCACAAACACGCCAATGACGAGCACAAGCACGACCATGATCAGCATGTCCTCGCCGCAGGAGTCGGTACAGTACTCGCAGTTGCACATCCACACGTTGGAGCAGTCCACTCCGTCCCTGCACACTCGGTTCCGATGACACCATCGAACCAGCCAAAGCACAGCCATGACAAACAACGTCATGGCCAGACTCAGCATCACGTACACTAGGTACCGCGGCACGCTGGGCAGACCTACCCAGTCGTAGATTTCGCCATCTAGGGCGTTCCAGTGCAGATTGAAAAACTTGGGCGTGCCTGCGTCGACGAGCAGCACGATCAAGCTACCTCCGAGAACCAGCGCCACGAACGCGGCCACCCGCCACACCTTAGCCCAGAAGATCGGTGCTTTCAGCGCCTCAACTTGCGGTGTGTCGGTGGTCTCGTACGCTTCCTTGCACGTCGGGCAGTGTGTCATGGCGTTTTGCGTGTTGGACGTGGCGCGCCACTGGTTGAGGCACTTGCGATGGACCACGGAACGGCACACGCACGGAGAAATGAGTTCCAGAGGAGACCCTTCGTCGACCTCACACGTCGCCTCCATGCACATGTAGCAGTACGGCACGCCCACGGATTCATGGCGGTTGAAGGGATTGCTGTCGATGGAAGCTCGAATGGCCGTGGCTATGGGCCCGAAATCGTTCTCGGAGCGGTCGTCCTTGGTCGTCGCCATGGTCTCTCTGGCGTCAATAATATTGCAAAATGGGATGATGGATTTTGCTGGGAGCAACAAATCAAGTAAACATATGGTAAAGTGACCCCAAATTTGTTTAAATGACCTCAAATATTGTTTAAACATAGTCTAGGGTTATTGGACAACGGGCACAGATATGTACTGCGATTCAAAGTTGTCGTCACAGATACGTAAACACAAGTCAAAGGCACGACTACTTGGCAATAGCAGTTGTACACGGCTATTATTTGACGCTACAAAGGTTCGAGATCTAGGGATATTTCCAAGACTACACCTCAGTCGGACCAATTAGACGTTTCGTCAGTTTTTACCCATTTAACGTGAAACTATCTTGGGTCACTCGAATGAGGATCTAACGTTTGATGCCTCCAATAAAAACTTGCTCGCCAACGTCAGTCGTTTCAACCCGTCAAGCTTGTGAGATATCGTATCCGTGCCTCCAGAGCTTTGGAACAATCGCGTGATTGCTTAACTGTTTGACGCAGTTTCGGCTCGCGCTTCGATGAGACTTCCTCTGTGGCCATGACGACGTTATGCGCGTCACCACTTCGTGAATCCTTCAAAACCACCTGTTTTGCTGTTGGGTCGTAAGTTGCCACCACATAATTCAAGTCCATAGTGTAAGCCATTCGTATTGGGATTTTTGAAAGTCTTCCGATAGCATTCAACACCAATATTGAGATACATGTCATGCATTCATACAGTAATACCGTTAACCTTACAAAAAGTAAACGATGAACGATGAAGACACGAGGAGACTGTGCCAAAAGCGTATGAAATTGGTATGCAATTCTGACTGTACGCAGGTAC